AGAGGCGTAATGTGAAGAGGCGCAATGTGAGAGGCACAATGAAAATATTGAACAAGGGGCATGAGAGATTGGGAAGAAACAAAATATTTGAAATGAGCCCAATAAAATACTGGAAAGAGGCATAATTTGGAAAGAGGCGCAATCAAAGATAAACAAGAGGTGAAATTAAACATTTGAGATGGCGCAATGAAGGATTGGAAAGAGGCGCAATAAAAATATTGGAAGAGTGCATAAGAGATTGCCAATATTTGGAAAAGGTGCAATAAAAATATTGGAAAGAGGCATAATGAAAAGATTGGAAAGGATATAATAAAAAAGATTGTAAGAGGTGAAGTTAAATATACAGGTGCCTCAAAAAAGATTTTGAACTTTTTGTCTTGTTTAAATTACATTTGTCAATGATTCATTAATCGTCAGAGGTTTCGTCAAGGTTTTGTGAATCATCAAGGGTTTCATCAATCGTCAAAGGTTTCGTCAATCGCTATAGGTTTCGTCAATCGTCAAGGATTTCGTCAGATGAAAAGACCAAAGTGATTATACACACTTGTTAGAAAACTATTTAATAAATTTAATTTTAGTTTTGCCATTTTACTCTGGGAAATTTCAGCACAACAAATTCCATTCAATGATTTAGCTCCCGAAATGGCAAGTGAAAGGGTTAAAAAAGGCGAACATCCCAATCCATTTTTAGAAAGCACACCAAAACAATATATAGAGATAGTTATGCAAGCCTGGGACAAAGATCACAATAATCGTCCACAAATTGATTACCTACACGAACAACTTAAGAATATGAAAGAAGATGCTGAATTACATCAAAACGGTTCTGCAACTTTTGCTTCTGTTGCACCTATTAAAAAAAGTAAACATGAGGTGCAATTACCTCCATTATTACCTATTGAGCAAGTAATCACATTCCACAAAGAAAAAAAATACGAAGAGGCTTTCATCCAGTTCGAGCAACTAGCGCAAAATAATGATCCTCTAGCTTTATATTATACTGGATTATATCTTTACGAAGGTTATGGCATTAGAAAAGATGTAATTTGAGCCATGCAATTAATTTATAAATTAAAAACTGCAAAA